CCCCACCCGTTCTCATGGCTATGGCCCCCTCCGTGCCCATGGCACCAGGTCCATATCTTGGGCCTCCTCTGTCATCTGAACATCCACGCTCAGGTGTTTCAGCCCCCACTGGACATCTGATCTTATGTGAATGTCTCATGGATGCCCCATATTCCACATGTAGAGAATGGAACTCCTCAAACTTTCTTCTGTATCTCCATCCTTGTGAGTGGTTGCACCACCCAGTCCTTCCCAGGCTCTCTCACTTCTCCTCTCTCTTTCACCATTACACGTGCCTGTCTCTTGCCTTGTGATGGTATCTCTTAAATATTTCTCAAATCCCTCCTCTCCTTTTGATCACCACCACTGCCTTAAAGGGGACCCCTCCCATCCCTTGTCTGGGCTGCTGCAAGCACCCCAGAACTGATCTCCTTATCTGTCACCCAGCTCAGGTCTGTCCTTCTTTATATCTCTAACTATATCCAGAACCCAGGTCACTCCCCGTTTCCTCCCTAATCCCCTCAACTTTAAGCATGTACTAATCTACTTTGTGTCTCTAGAGATTTGCATATTCTCTACATTTCATGTAAATAGAATCATACAATTTGTGGTATTGGCTGACTAGCTTTGACTAGCTTTGTTTACTTGGCATAATGTTTTTAAGGTTCATCCATGTTATAGCATTTATCACTCCTTTATTCTTTTTTACTCCCAAATATCACATTGTATGGATATACCACATTGTGTTTATCCATTCGTCAGTTCATGGACATTTAGTTATATGAATTCTGCCCCTTTGAACATTTATGTGTGAGTTTTTTGTATAGGCATATCTTTTCATTTCTTTTGGATATATACCTAGGAATGGACTTGCTGGGTCATATGGTGACGCCAGTTAGCATTTTGAAGAACTGCCAGACTATTTTCCAAAGTAGCGGCATCATTCTACATCCCCCTAGTAATGTAGTTTTAAATCCCAGCACAGGTGTTTATACTGGACACGAGAAGTGCTCTTGTAGAATTTCTGAGCATGGTAAAGGTGATGTTCTTGTAATGTTTGTTGCACATCGACGTGGAATGAGACTTTTGTGAATAGAATCCTCTGTGTGTGTGTCTGTGGTGTGTGTGTGTGTGTATGTGTGTGTACTGAGTAGCTTGGGCATTTTGAAACGGCCAAAGGGAATGAGAGCCCTTAACTACAAAAGTTTTCTAGCTGAGTAAGAAAACCTCCCATAACTCTAGGCTTTAAAAAATTGCACACCAAGCTCTTCATCATATAGTGAAACAATAGTTATAAAGCTGCCACCATCCGGGGAACCTGCAGTTGCTCAGTGAGGCTTGTTACGGGAGCCTCCTACTCCACTTGGCACACTTATCGCCCGTATGGGTTTTTCCCCTCTGTGATTTATTCTCAAGCATTTTGTATTTCCTTTGCCATTTAGATGAAATTTAAATAAAACCATTAGGTAAAGAACCGTGTCAGGCTGTTACACACTTTAAACTCATGATAAAATCAACCTGTATGTCCTTCTCTGTTCAAAGGAAGTAAAAACACCTGCATTTTGGCAGTTTCCTCTTACCGGCTCTTACCCAGTGTTGGATCGGGGATCTCCTGGCGCAGCTGGCTTTTTTGTAATAGGAGAGAGGAAAACAGGCATGAACAATAGCCCCAGTTCTGTCCCATTTCCTGTGTCCTCCTTGGTTCCCAATTCTCCCAGTCTCGACACTCTCTTTTATAGACCCCAGTTCTCAAAAAGGGGGAGAATTTAGGTAACAGGGCCTAATCCCCCAACTCACTGTTGCCTTGCCCTTCGTCTCAATATAAATGTGTTCAGAGCATCTTCCCAGGACTGATAAAATGAGAACATAATTTTTTCTGTGACAGGTGGAGTTAAAATTTCCAATGAAGCTGCATCTGAGCTTGAACGACATATCCTGTTGTGGTGGATAATTCTCTTTTCCCCTCTTTTTTCTAGGCTTATCCAAATCCCTTGGGCTCATTGAAGGTTATGGCGGGCGGGGCAAAGGGGGCCTTCCTGCCACCCTTTCCCCAGCTGAAGAAGAAAAAGCCAAGGGCCCCCACGAGAAGTATGGCTACAATTCCTACCTCAGTGAGAAAATCTCGCTGGATCGTTCTATTCCGGATTATCGCCCCACCAAGTAAGTTCTGGTTCAGTCACTCAGAGGAGCTTGTTTGAGCTTGTGGATGGGGGTAGACCCCAAGCTGTGACATTTCTTCATGTTATTTCTAACTAGTGAGGGGGCCTTTACCTCAGTCTCCTCCAAAATCAATAAACTGAGTCCTGTTGATTATGAAAATTAGCTAAATAAAAAATTTTAATTTTTATAAACGTAACCCAGAAACATATAGAAAAAGTCTGCAATACAAAAAAAAATTAAGTGAAAAACAGAAATCACCATGATCTTATTACTTAGAGATAGCAACTGATAAAATCTCAGTATATTGTCTTCGAGTCTATTTTCTCTAGAGATTATGAGAATATGATATATTTTTTTATCTCTTTTTTCCATTTAACATTATTTCATGAGCATTTTCTGCTGTTATTAGTTATGATCATTATTTCCATTGTTTGGAATTAGGTTATTTTTAATTTTTCATTATTACAAATAACACTTTGATGAATATCTTCCCATTTGAACCTTTATGTGTATTGATTAAATATTTATTTTCTTAATTCACATCTCTAAAAGCGTAATTCTTAGATCACATTGCAGGAATATTTTTGGAGGCTCTAGACTCATATCGTGATATTTTCCCCCAGGAAGTTTATAGTACTCTCTACTCCTTTTGGAATTATAATTGACCCTTCCAAAACTGGGTGCTACCATTAAAAAATGCTTTGCCATGCTGAGAGGTGAGAAAGTACATCCCATGGCTGTTTCTCCTTATAATGTTTTGTGTGAGGCTCTTATCTTTCAGATAGTTTGTTTGCATCTTGGTCATCTCGTGGAAGTTCTTTGTTCTGTGCAAAGATTCAAGAGTGATTTGTTTTCTCCTTGTGAAATAGAGAAAAGAAATTGCTCATAGAATCAAGATGCTGGAGGGAAAACCTATTTCCCAGGCAGGAGTCCACCTTGGCCTCTCAAACAGATTTTTCATTTTCTGTTAGATTTGTAGTGTCTCTCTTTTTCTATTCAGTGTGCCCTTGTTTAGAGCAGATTATTTCTTTTGCAAATGGGTTTTGTACAAATCAGTTAAGTATCCTGGTTACTGAGAAAAATAGATTCGAGATAAAGAAAATTATCTTAAATGGATTTAAAATTGCAGAATTAGCTGAGGAACCTGTTAAATATCTCTCCCTGCCTAATAAGCATATATTTATTTGAATTACTAGGAAAACATACATCACCCCTGTTGGAAGCTGCTTTATATCCCTGGACTTTTGCTCTCAGAAACATCTGGCTGTTTTCATTTTCTGGTCCTTGCTGATTAGCCTTCTTTATTTGGACACTGGCAAATAAACAGAGTCCTATTTTTTTTCACTTCTCTGAGAATAAAAATGCTGCCAACATGGAGCTACTGGAAATGGGTCAGTTGAACAAATCTTAGTGAGCGCTTATTATGTGCTAGATGGTTTTCCCCACACTAGAGGCAGAACATAAGATAAGATACAGTTCTTGCCTACCCACTATTTGTCTGGGGAGGGAGACAGATGTGCAGGCAGAGTAATTCAGCACAGTGTGGCCTGTATGGTGTGTATCAGGCCAGAGCTATACGTAGCATGTGCAGGGAGGATCTGGGAGAGATTCCTGCTTAAGATGGTGCCTGAGCTTAATTTTGAAGGACCAGTAAAGGTTGGAAAATTGAAGAAGGGAGAGGGATAAGGGGCAGACCAGGCAGGGGAAGAGCAAGATCAGAGTTAGGGTGCAAGTAAAAGCATGGTGTGCTCAGGGAAGAATGCATAACCCCATAGTGCTCTGTAGTGTAGCATGGTAGCTTAAGCATGCCACTTATTTCTGGTCACTCCTGAAATTTTACTAAGATAATAATAAAGGACTATAGAGAATGACAACCTATAAGGGACAACCAAATGGGCAATGACAGCGGGGAAGAGTCATCTACAAAGTTTTAGAAGATGGAAAGAGGGTGGATGAATGGTAACTGACAGCAAACTGAATGAGGCTGGGACCCAACCTCTTGCATATGGTGGAAAGTGGCGGTAAGAGCAGACGATTGCGGCCTAGTCATACCTCAGAACACCAGAGACCCAGAGACCCAGGAACGGGAGGTTCTGGATACTTCTGATGGCCGGGAGGTAGATTTGAATAGAAGGATTGCAGTTGATCTTTGGATCCTTTTTTCAACTCTGCACAACCAGAGTTTATCCTTTAATACCTGGTAGAATACAGGAGTTTTACGCTCTGGAGAAGGTGAACTCTGGGTTTCAGTTCATAAAGATATAGCCTAGGAGAGAGGAGATAAGGCTGCATACATAATAAATGGGAACACCCTCAGCCTCATTACTTCTCAAGACTTTTATACCTTCATAGTCAAGTGTTTGAGGAAACCATTCTGAGGAAACCATCTAGCCTAAGGAAAAGGCCGATAGGACTGAGAGCTGGGGGCATACCCCCAAATGGTTGGGTTCTGCTCATTAACTATTAGTTAAGTTATGCCTGTTGTAAAGTCCATCCAACCACACATAGCTGTTTTACTCTAAAATAAGAAAGGGAGAGTGAGAATCCCTAGATGCCTCAGGAGAGTATCTGTTATAAAAGGCTTTAATAACAACAAAAATAGAAAACACACTTGGAGGAAACAGAGACTACAGACTTTATAACTCATGACTTAGCAATATCACAAAATGTTGCATTTTATTCACAAAACAAGGGTGAAGTGCTATGTTAAAGTAATAATCAGAGAATAAGAAAACAAACCTTGGTTGTTATAAATGAGATAGAAATAAGTAATTCAATAAAAGTTGAAAGACAGCATTGAGGAACTCTTATGGAAGATAGAAAAAATAAAAAATAAAAGTAGGAGAGAAAAGTCTTAAAAAGAATTAAATGATCCAGCAGGTTCAATATCAGCTAACAGGAATGTCAGAAAGAGAACAGAGAAAACAGAAGAAAATCATCAAACAAATGATACAAGAACATTTCCCACACTTATAGAGCTTTCAGATTAGAAGTTTCTACCCAACGCCTACAAGATGAATGAAAGGAAAACAATTAAACCCAGATTAAGAAATGTAAATTTAAAATTTCAGAACAGCATGGATGAAGAGAAAGTCCTAAAAGCTTTCAGAGAGAAAAGTGGTTCAAATACAGTCAGTATTGGATTTCTCAGGAGCAACATTAAAAACTAAGAGACAAGTTAAAAAAATGATTTTCAACATAGAATTTTATAGTTAGCCATAGAATACTTTGTGCCAAGAGCAAGCACAAAATAAATACATTACATTTATGTAGGGTCTCAACAAAATTACCTTCCCTGCAACTGTTTTCAGGAAGCTACTCAAGGATATGCTCCAGTAAAACAAGAGAGTAAACTAAGAGAGAGAATGATAATAGGATTGAGGAAACAAGGAATTCAAACAGGAGAATACTAAAAACAGATCGCAGAAAGATGATGAAGGGCTGTTCGGGGTAACATTCCAGGACCACAGCTGTGTAGCAAGCCAAGAGATCAACCATTTTACATTAGAACAGGAGGATGGAGGGCTATAGGTGGTATGTATCCAAAGGGGGGGGCAGGGGATAGAATTATTTGATTACTTAGTGGTTTTGATTGCATTAAGATTTTAAAAATATATTTTATTGACGTATAATTGGCATGCAACATTTTATTTTTTTCAGATGTATGATATAATGATTTGATATTTGTCAACATTGCAAAATGATCACCACAATAAGTCTAATTAAAATCAGTCACCATACATAGTTACAGAATTTTGTTTCTTGTAATGAGAACTTTAAGATCAACTCTTTAGCAACTTTCAAATATGCAATATAGTACTATTAACTATAGTTGCCATGGTGTACATCACTACCCCATGACTTACTTATTTTATAACTGGAAATCTGTATCTTTTAACTCTCTTCACCCATTTCTCCCACCCCTCAACCTCACACCCCTGGCAACCACCAATCTGTTTTTCTGTATAATATGAAATTGTTTCTTGTTGTTAGATTCCTCATATAAATGAGATCATATGGTATTTGTCTTTGTCTGACTTATGTCACCTAGTATAATGCCCTCAAGGTCCATCCATGTTCTTGCAAATGGCAAATTTTCATTCTTGTTTATGGCTGAGTAGTATTCCATTATTTGTGCATGTGCGTGTGCGTGTGTGTGTATCACATGTTCTTTATCTATTCACCTATCAGTAGACACTTAGGTTTCCATCTTGGCTATTGTAAATAATGCTGCAATGAACAGTGGGGTACATATATCTTTTCGAATTAGTGTTTTGGATTTCTTTCAATAAATACCTTGAAGTGGAATTTCTGGGTCATATGGTGGTTCTATTTTTAATTTTTGAAGCACATTTATACTGTTTTCCATAGTGGCTTCATCAGTTTACATTCCCATCAACAGTGCCAGAGGGTTCGCTTTGCTCCACATCCTCTCCAACCCTTATTATTTCTTGTCTTTTTGATAACAGCCATTCTAACAGGTGTGAAGTGATATCTCATTATGGTTTTGATTTGCATTTCCTTGAAGATTAGTGACAGTTGAGCATCTTTTCATGTACCTGTTGGCCATCTGTATGTCTTCTTAGGAAAAATTCAGATCCTCTGCTCATTTTTAAATAGGATTTTTTTTCTATTGAGTTGCATAAGTATTTAAATATATTTTGGAAATTAACCTTGTATTAGATATGTGGTTTGCAAATAGTTTCTTCCATTCATTAGGTTGCTTTTTATTTTGTTGATGGTTTCCTTTGTTGTGTCGAAGCTTTTTAGTTTGATGTAGTCCCACTAGTTTATTTTTTCTTTCGTTGCCTTTGCAAAATTTTTTCAAACCATTCTTTCAGAAAGTTTGGGACTGAATTAGTGGTAGACAGAAGAAAAAAAAAACTTATGAAAAAGCAAAGTTCCTCAGGAAAGGAATTGCAGTTCCATACCCAGTGTGGCTCGGCTCTGAACAATATAGTGATATAAGTGTGAGTAATGAGTTATTTATTTAACTACAA